AAAAAAAAAAAAAAAAAAAAAAAGGGAATACAGGAGCAGTAGTACTCAAACTGTATTGTGCATGTATTGTGCATTAGAACCACCAGGGGAGTGTGCTAAGACACTAGTTCTGGCCCTAAGGCATAGTGGTTCTGATTCCCTGGGTCTGGGGTGGGGGCAGAAGTTGAAGTTGGCCTTCTAAGTGTCCCTGATGATTCTGATGCAGACAGTGTAAAGACAACCCCTTGAAAAACAAACCTGGAATTGCCTTGGGGTCTTGACAAAGTGCTGATACCTGGTCCCTCCTCCCCACATTCTGAGTTAATTGGCCAAAGATGCAAACTTGGTTTTAGGATCTTTCGGGACTTTCCCAGGTGACCCTCTGTGGATCCTGAGTGGGGAACCATTGTAGGCAGCCTTCCTTGGAAGTGCCTTTGAAGTGGGAACCATGAATGGTTCAGCAGGGAGGACAGTCTAGACCTCAGGAGGTATTTGAGAATCTGGACTAGGGACTGGACACCCATGCTACCCTGAACTCCACTGGACACAGGATCCCAGTCTTGGGACTTTTTCTTCCTCAACCTGTAATAAGACATGTTGAAGCACGTGTTCTATGGGGTCTTATCCCAATCCTAAGCTCACTTAGGAGCTAAACTAAGTGTCCCGAATAGAGCCAGTAATACTTGCAAACATACGTGTCACCCACTGACTCAGAAACCTTCAGTTTGATTCACACACATTTTTTGATGGAATGAACCAATGGATGAATGAATAAACACCTGCAACCTCCCTTCTTGGCCCTGGAAACTGAGTAAAAACCAAAGAGCCAGGTCCCCTGCTCTCATGTCTTTTGGAGGAGACATATCATATAGTAGGCTAGCAGAGTTCACACACATGCACTCACTCTCACACTCACACACAGCATGTGGGTGTGCAGGAGGACAGCACCCCTTCAGTCCACCCACTGTCTTTAGAGTTCAAAATAGGCCTTGGCCCTCACAGCTCCAGAGAATAAAAGCCAGAGCTGAGAAACAAGAAAGGCTAATTCCTAGCACTGGAGTCTCCACGGGCCCAGGCCTGGTGAATTAGGGGCTGCTTCATGAGCTTTCAAGGGTTTTCTGAGTGCACGTGCTATGCAAGGTTCTAGAAAGCTCTCCACCCACGCTTCCTCTGCCTTCTGCACTGGGATGAAAGGGCTGCCCTGCTCTTTCTGTCCATTTCTCTATGCAGTTCCACCTCCTGCCGGGTCGCTAAAGGGCTTGGTTTGGGTGGCTTCTTCCGATCATTCCAATTCCTCAGCTAAGTGCTCCGCACGTTGTTCCAGGGCATAAACCCTTCCCCTTTGGATTTATGTTCACAACGAAACAAGCTCAATTTTAATTTCCTTGTAATCGCTAAATGATTGGAAGAACCACTCCTGCCCTCTGTCTCAAAGCCCTCTCTCCCCTGTCTGGGCTTCCTATCCAACGAGGGGCACAGGGAAATGCTTTGAAGATGAAAGTGAGCCCCGGCCAGGGTGTGTTTCTAGCCAGGTACATCCAGGGGCTGAGCTGGGAACCTCCTTAGAACCCCAGCAGCCCCAGGGCCTTGTGCTCCACTGGAAACATCCCAGCTGTTTCCCCGGCATTCTTTCCCCAAAGGGCCCATTTCAGAGTGCTCAGAAGGCAAACTTCTCACAATGTTGGCCTAGATGGGGTGGGGCGGCAACCTGGCGGAGAGGCCTAACAGCATACTTCACAGCCTCCAGGGCACGGTCTATGTCCGCTCTTTCATTTGGCTGGCACAGGCAGATGCTGAGTCTACCTCAGCTGAGAACGGCTTCCCAGCCAAGGTCTCTGCATCTGGATGCACTCTTCTGCCCAAGCTCTCTGGGCTAACTCTAGCAAATCCCAGGCCTCCAGGCATGGCCAGATCCATGCCAAAGGAGCCAGGCGTTGGACCTGCCTAGCCCTGCCCAACCAAGGCTGGACTCTGCCTGAGACTCAGGCCTGCATTGCCTGGGCGGCCCCAAGGTAGAAGCAGCCCCAGACCCTGCCAGCAGCTCTGTCTAGTTGATTGATTGGCCACTTAGGCCATAAATGAGTCCCATCTACTGAGGGGATGATTCAGGTTATCTCCCAAGGTTTCCAGGGGGTCCTGAGCCCTCTGGTGACCTCTATGATGTTTGTGGTTCATTGCTTTGTGTTTATCTGTTATAGGTGCCACACACTCGCATGCAGGCAGAACCAGGCAGATTAGACGAGTATGCAAAACAGCCATTCTCTCCTGGAGCACATTGTCACTCAACTCTAACCAACTGTGGGCACTACAACCTTTGATTTTCCAAGAAAAGTCTTGGCCGGGCATGGCGGCTCAGGCTTGTAACACAGGGATACCTCATCTCCACAAAAAATTTAAAAGTTAAGCAGGTGTGGTGGCACACAACTGTGGTCTAAGCTACTCGGGAGGCTGAGGCAGGAGGATCGCTTGAGTCCAGGAGTTGAAGGCTGCAGTGA